TCAGAATGGGATGAAGCATATGGTCTGAGTACGTCTGGGATGTTCTCTTGCTGTTGTGGTATGGAGGTGGGGAGGGGGATATTGCCCTTGGAAGCTCTAAAGTTGTAGAAAAATTTAATCTATTGCTACTGTGATTGAGGGAGTGGGAGAGACAAGAGATCACCACTAATCATTGAATGAATGCAATTAACACTGGCATACAATTAGCAACCTTGGTACATTGAAACAGATTTTTTGTAGCATGCTCTTACATATTATTACTACTTTTACAATTAATTTTAATTCCCAGTATCATTGTTATTTTTTATACAAATTTGTTTTCTTTAACAGCCTTTATTATGTTTATAGTACTTTCCATTACTAATATTAAACAATTTAATTTCATCTATCAGTTGTTCACTCTGCCCCGACACTATTATATCATACTACTCGTGACGTGTGCCGCCAATGGAAAAGCTTAGATTTTTCAAATAAAATATATATTATTATCATATTTTATCGATATAACTACAATTTTAATATCAGCGAATCTTGAAATAATTATTTCTATCAGCCTTACGTAACCCAAGACAAGGAAGAATAAAAATACTTATTACAAAAGGACAGGGAAAGGTGCCCTGCTTTGGAACATTGGCTTATGTGTATTAGTGGCAAGAAATATATTTTATTATATTATTTTATTTATTTTTTATTTTAATCAATAGCGACTTAATCACTGTCCTACTAGATACTGTAGGTGGCAATCCCTTTACATGGCAAACATAAACACATGATGCTCTACATAAACAAAATCTCATAATTAGACTTATGGAGTGGAGTTATAATTGATTGCAAGGCGAGCATCTTACCCACCGATCTATTTAACTCCATTCAATGTTAATTACAAGTTTGTTTTTTATATTTTAATTTGATTTGTCATCCTTAAATCATAATTAGTATTTCATGGTTAGACCCTCTTGCTGCAATAAATGTAGCCAATATGTATTACATTTGTAATGTTCAACTTACACTAACTCAATCATTATCCTTGATTTTATAAATTCAATAAACTCAATCTTACAAATGATAAGGTGTTTTTTTGGTTTTTTTTAATTTGATGTGTTTTCCTAATTACGAATCATTTTAGGATTTCATGATTGGACTGTCACTGCAATAAATGTAGCAAATATATGTTATTACATTTGTAACATTCAATATACACTTACTTTATCATATACTTGATTTTATAAATTTATGTTATTTATATTATTCATTTATTAAATTTTGATTGGTAATATGAAAAAGGATTTTCTTAAAAAGAGGACCTCTAGAGTCCTGCAAACTTCTTGGATCATGGGCATTATTTCTGTGCTCTTTCCAGTCTAGTATTATGGGGGTTGGGGGAGAACATGGTGCCACGTGTGGAACTGCATGCCTAGTACCAGGTTACCCAGATCCAGTCAGCCTGCTATTAATATTTTCAAAAATCCTTAAATTCACATCTGTTGACAGATTCATATCGGATATCATAAGTTGTTTAATCTTTCAAGGTTAAAAAAATAATTTATTGGTTTCCTTCAGTGTTGTCCTTTCGCAATGCTATGTGGAGCCCTGGGCTTCTCTTTGATTGGAAGTTGTTGTATGCTCAATACACTACTGCCTTTGAGTATATGGGGTGAAGGTTAGGGTCTAGTGGCATATCTAGAAGTCTTGAAAGTGGGTGCTAATGGGGGGCACGAGGGTGAGGTGGGGGCTCGATGATAAGTTGAGGGGTGGTAATTCACAAAATAAGGTGATTTTAGGTGATTTTTAACTACTTGACAGTGATTTTTGTGGTGGGGGGGGGGCACGACTCGGAGGGCACGAGTAATTTTTGGAGGGGCTGTGCACACCCCCTAGATACACCACTGGTAGGGGCAAGGTAGGGGCAAAGTATGATCATCTACGTTAAATATTTATGTTATTTTTATATTTTTTTCTTTTTTATACTAATACAGTTGATGGATCTAGTGGTTTTAAACCCGAGGCCGACCGCTATCATTTGTATGTGTCCCTGGCATGCCCCTGGGCTCATCGCACTCTTATCGTACGTAAGATAAAAGGTCTAGAAGACGTTATCCCGTATACTGTTGTTGACTGGTTGATGGGACCCAAAGGATGGAATTTTACGGATAAGGTTAGTAGAAACCAGATATGGTTTTATATCATACTCAAGAATCACTGCCATAGGCAGCACCCAGCCAGCTTTCTAAATTTTTGAAAAATAAAAGAATCAAGGAAAATAATTAAATTTTTATTGAAAATGAAGTCTGACAGTGTCACTACCGGCTATCTATAAGGTGCCATAGCCTACAATTTGTCGTACCTCAGCCCCAACCATTTATTTATATTTATTAATTGCCCTTTCTGTACTATTATTGATTTATACAGTGTTACACTGAAAAGAAATATATCTGCAGTGTTATAAACAATGATAATGATAAGAAGAAAAATAATTGATATAAAACATTATGTTAAATGATTTTGGAATGAAAATATTGTTATTTCTTGGAATTTCATGTAGTAGTTCTTTCCAGCTTTAGGATGATCGATTTAATGTTCTTTGTGTCTACTGATTTGAGAATTAGATATGTGGACATTCTTGACCACTACCCTCAATACTCTGTACACAATAAAGTAACACATAAGCTGATATAGTGTGATTCGGTCGTGGTTAATACGGTCCCTATAATGAATTTCCCGAGTAAAAATTCTTTAAAAGTTGCCAACAAGCCAAGTGGCAGGGTGCCATAGTGCTCTAGTGTATTGGAGGAGGAAAATATCCATGGGTTATCAGTACACGGAGCAAGTGAATTTTACTCAGCAACTAGAAAAGGAGTCCAGTAGTATATCCACTCGAGGAGATGCCTAAAATTGAAATTACTATGCAGACCACACTGCCTCCATTGGTGTGTACCAGCTACGCCCATTGACACATTTCCCTGCAAAATATTCCACCAGGTTGTTGTGGGTTTGTCTATGTGTGTGTTTAGAATATGTGCTTTTGTTAAGGTAAACTTTAAAGACAAATATTGAGGAGCATACGGTATTTCAGCATTTGAAAGTCATAAGAAATAATTTTATATTTCCAAATCACATTTAGTGCATTCTATCCGAGGGCACTTAAAATATAATCAACAGAATTCTTGATGGGTCTGAGGTGGTACAGCCCCTTTATCTGGGAAAGTCCAGGTACCTCTCTATTTTCAATTCACCACTGAGTACTTGAGCATGTATTGAATTCTGTTTAGATTTATCATGCAGCTTCAATTATTTTTTATGTATTTTTGTATAGTAGTTTATAACATGTCATATTATTTGTATTTTAGGAAACAAATTAAAAAAAGTATAATACATACTCCAATAATTATAAATAATAATAATAATGTATTTCTGTATAGTAGTTTTTATAACATGTCGTATTATTTGTATTGTAGGAAACAAATTAAAAAAAGTATAATACATACTCCAATAATTGAAATGCACGCCATAGTGTTGGGATTTAATATTTCAACATTAATTGTCATCATCAGGAATAATTCCTGATGATGACAAAAATAATGTTGACTGCAAATCAATATTGGAGTAAGTATTATTCTTTCTTAACTGAGTTTAATCAGTGCACCTTTTCGTTTTTGGAAAACAAAGTCAATATTAATTTGAAAGATGATCTCTGATCGAGATTGAAACATCCAAGGAAACATGACTTTCTTTTTGGTTCAATCAAAAAAGAAAAGTTAAATTCTGCTGTTAATAGAAACTAGATAAATTTTTCAATAATAATTGTATCTTGCTTGTGATTCAGGTTTCTCATGAGTTGTAATCTATTACGGATGTTTATTATTGTTATTAAAGTTCTTCATTATCTGTACAATATTAAAATTTGGCAGTTTGAGGCGCTTTCACTCTTTCACTTATTTGCAAATATCTAAATATGAAATATGATTTTAACTCAATATTATAACATAATGTAAATTTTCTGATAAGTACCTCTCTCAAAAGGTGTGGCTCCCATAGTGGGGGCACTTACAAGAAGGGGAGGGAAATTTTTCCCCCAATTGGTGGAATATTCTTTCTCCCAGATAATTTTCATTCCCCCAGTTTTTCCCCTCCTGTAAAAGCATAACACTATTATATTGCTTTAGTGAAGTTGATACAGAGCAATTAGTTTTTAATTAAAAACAAGGCAGTGTGTTTAATAAAATCTTTATTTGTAAGAAAATACTGTGCATTTAAATAAAAATATACAAATACATGGATGGAAACTTCACCTGTTGGTGTTGCGATTTAAAAAAAAATTATATTTGTATCTACAGTTTGCTATGAGAATACTTTTACCCCCTAAAATTTTATCTTTCCCTTCACTTCAGATTTCAGATACAGGCACCGCTACGAAACCCTCATATAAGTGTTGAACCGAACATGATACTTAGATATTCTCTACACAATGCACTAAATCAAGAGTAGGGGCCTACCTATTATTAATTAATGTTTCTTGATATTTGCATTCTTGGGAAATTATTTAATAATCAACTTTTCACATACTTGGTTTATTTATTTATTCTTTCTTTAGACTGCATGCACTTTCAGTATTTGAGTACTGATTTTCAAAGTGGTACAGTTACAAACAAACAATGAAATAGAAAGAAGATAATACAAAAATAAAGTCAAAAGAAGATTCATTGTAAAAGTTAACTTAAAAAATTTATAAAAACCAACTACTTTATAAATAATAAATGTTTTCCTTTAACTATACACTACTTATATTTTGTAAGTACCTACTGTCTGGTGCATTGTACCTATTTATGACTACCTATATACAATTATGATTGTGCACTAGTTAATATGTAAATTATATATGTAAATTATATATTCTTTTAATAGCAAACAAATTATTTCTATTATCAAGCAGTGTTTGAACAATTGTGGTATACACCATATCCTAGAAATGTGAACAGACTTTGACCCTGATAAAAGAGGAAGTTCATGTGCATAATACAATTTACTCTTCCCTTGACTTTACTCATGGAAACACTTTTAAGGTACGTTGTGTGTCTTGCTAAGATATTCTTTTGTGAATAATAAAGACACAAACAAGGTGTTATATATAGAGGGCTGGGAAGTTGCATCTGGTACGTTCTGATACTTGATCTAAGTTTTTGTATATGCAATGCACAGTAGGCTAGGTCTACTCTATGCAGTGTAGGCCTGTCACGCCAAAATTGGTCCGGCCCAAAAAATGTCCGGCTGACAGAATTTGGCCGTCAAAATCGGTCCGTCGGACTACTAAAATCGGTCCTCCGGATTGATTTTAGCCGTTAAGACCGGTCCCGCTTGGATAAAATTAGTCCGCATTGGCCTGGCCACTTCATTTGTAACTCATCTGCTATTAGCAGGGTATGATTGTTTCTCCGTGGAGTGGAGGAAAGTATGCTTCTCACACACTTGCAAAGTCTTTTGCAGTGTGACAGAATCCTTCGTTAAAGCTTTTGAGGAAGTGTTTTATCAAACCACCTGGTAATACTGGTTATGCATTTCCTAAGCCTAGGCGATACACACAGCGTGCATTATTTTCGGTGGCCGTGGTTAGGCCTACGTTTGGGCCTAAAATGAAACACAAGACTGATTTATTATTTTTAAATATTCCGTATTATTGTGTGGGGTATTGGGTCATACAATAGATGTTCTAATACATGAAGTAAAGTAGTAAGCATTCTCAGAATTGAATGCATTTATTTCGTCGCGGAGCACACACAACCAAAACAAAACAAGGTAAAAAAATGAACTAGAGCGGACCAACACGATTTAAGACCACATCGTTTAACTTCTTTTCGTACTTTTACACCAAAGGGTTTACTGGGCACGAAGCTTCACTTAATTTTCACCAGTGATTTCACCTATGATTTCACACATACAATAGCGAATGAAAACATATTAGGCTATATAATAAGAGATAAGGCCTATCATTTGATTACAAAAAAATATGAACAACGTTATAAAAATACAAGTTATAACTATTAAATAGACGCTGGACTGATTTTGGCTTATGCGAACTATATTTGGCAGGTAATTTTAAAGCCAAAATTGGTCCAGCGGACCGATTTTTGGCCCCTGACCCCGGAATTTTTCTGACACCCCTATAGCCTATGCTATAGGATAGGCCTATTGGGCTAGCAGAGCTAATTTATCAGAAAATGTTGGTTCTCAAAGAGTCTGTGGTTGGGATTTGATGATACAGCGATAAATTTTAGGGAATTAACCAATTCGTTTAAAAATTTGGGGGAAAACTGGATTTCTCATTTAGTTACCCTCAAACTAATTTCTTGAGGTCGTGGATTTGATTCCCACACAATGCATTTAGGAACGTACTAGCCATACAGTAGAAAAGCACATCAGGTAGGGCAAACACCATTTGTAAAATCATATTAAAAATTTTACTGTTGTTGATAAACAAACACACACAATTATTTGTACCATATGTGCAATTTCAACACACACCCTTAATCAAAAATCGCGAAAATTGAGTGTGGGTGAAAAAAAAGGCTTTACAATATTTTCTTTTGTCTTTAGTTTATATAACATTCTAGACCACTCATTAAATTCCTGATGGCAATATTCATAATGCATTTATATCAATGGCGTATCAAGAATTCTTGAAATGGAGGTGCTGATGAGGGGCACGAAGGTGAAGTGGGGTGGGATTCGATGATCATTTGATGGGTGCTAATTCGCAAAATAAGTTGTTTTTAGGTTAATTTAACAACTTGATCGTGATTTTTGTGGGGAGGCATGAGTAATTTTTGGAGGGGCGAACCCTCATCCCTCCCCCACCAGATACGCCACTGATGGATATACAGTAGGCCTAGTCTTGAAATGACAACATTTATTTAGCAATTAACCAGCCTTATTCTCTAAAACCTCAGCAGCACACAAAAATGGTGGAAATCAAGAGTAACTGCAGATATGTGTGTGTTGAACTAGGAAAAAATGTCAGTCTAAATGCTGTCATAGAAGGAATTGATGAGAAACATGTGATAAGTTGGCTACACAATGGAAGGGAGATTACTCGAGGTGAAGAATTTATAGGCGAAGATGGTCTTAGTGAACATATTTTTCTTCGAGGAGGTACCAATGGAGTGTTTACACTTGAGATAACAAATGCACAGTTTCTTGACAAAGGGACATACTCTATTAAAGTATATGAACAAGGCCACGACAACAGCCTGTTCGAAATTACTCAAAAAGATGTAATGTTGCTTGAGGTTGATTCCTATAGTGATGATATGGACATGAGGCTAGAAGGGGCGTTGGTGTCCGACTCCGAAGAGTACGGAGTTTGACTTCGACGAAGTCAAAGTGGACGTGGTTTTTCATTACTAAATATGTATTGAAAGTTTTCAGGGGGTGAAGCCCCCAAAAAATATGACAACTTATAAACATAGTAGGTTTTAATTGGGTGTAACCATTCCAACAAACACACAATTTCTATACTGTTTTATTGCTACAGATTTAGCATTTACTTGAGGTAATTTGCAGTATTTTATAGAGTAGACCTTTAATACTTAGCTGTTAATTCTTATGAACAATACTGCCTCCAAGAAACCCTTGAAGAGACCCTCAAGTATATCAACGAAGTTAACTTGACTTAATTCTTATAATGCTGTCTCTTATACACATCTAGATGTGTATAAGAGAAAGTTATAGGGTGATTTCATGTGAACCCTAGTTGACCATTGGCACTGTAACTAATTAGTATGATTTTGTCATCACAGGAAACGTACGTAATGCCTATGTAGAGAAGTCTCGAACATTACGGTACATTGGAGAGAAACAAACACTAAATTGTACGTTTATCTTCAAGATGCAGCCCGTGATGCAGAAGAAAGTGCGTCACATTCACACTGTATGAATAATGAACACGTTTTGTTAAAGTTTACATACACATTATTTTTCTGTTTTAATTTTCCCTATTGTCCAAATATCTCATAATTAAGCTTGGTTTTGCTGTACGCATTCTGCCTCAATTCATAACAACATTTTATTTATATTTATTTTAAAATATATATTAGGCCTATACAGAAACGTCGTTATAACAATTATTTCCTACCTAGTAAATGCTACAGTGCAGGGGCGGATTTAGGAA